AAAAAGTATCCATAAATCATATTTCCAAATGATATCTATGCATGTTAAATTAAGTGCTAGTTTCGCCCAGTTTTCAAAATTTTATTCTACTCCAACAGGTAAAGTTGGGTTAAATATAGGTTTTTTTTTTTTTTTCTTAAAAACATTAAGTTGATAATATAAGGGATCTAACAAGTCTTTCACGCAAGGTGATTCTTCCATTTCTACTACGAGAGCATTTGTGCTTGCATCCGAGTCCATCCATGCTCATTAATCCATATGCATGATATATTTTGTTTACTTTAATCTATAAACTTAATATAATTATTTTAATTAACTTAAAATAGATAAAATCCTATCACATAAGTTTTGATCATTTTTGCTTCATTGCCATATTCTTGAATTAATGTTATGCTAGTATAAATATGGTCAATTAGATCTATGGAGGACAAAAAATCTCACCTCATGGGTGAGATTTTTCCCAACTCTATATATGGGTCCAAATAAATTATATTTATGTTAGTATGATATTCACAATGATAGGGTAATAAAATAGTGATGATCATGTAGCTCAAATGATAAGATTTTGTTTATTTTTGGTCAATTATTATAATAACATTAAGTTTGTAAATTAAGATACACAAAAGTATATATTGAGGGGCTAATAATCTCAAAAACAAATAATTTGAAGGTTTTTAGGGAGGTTATGCCGAATGTAGGTGGATGGCGGTTATCTCCAAACCAAAAATTAAAAGAATAATTAATAAACATTTTTTTATTTAGAATTTATTTTAAAATAATATTTATTTTTCATATTTCAAAAGAGACAAATATTTTTTCTTATTTTAACCTTATAATTATTTCTTAATTTTATTTATTCATCTTATCATAAAAAAATCTCTTTATTTTTATTTTTTTAAAGGTAAAGTAATTAAAAATAGAAATCCTCACCAAATCCTCAAACCTAAAATAAAAGCAAAAAGTATCTATAATTCCATGATAAAAGGAGTAGTACAAATATAGATATAGTTTTTTATTTTTTATTTTTAATTAATGATATAGTTTTTTTTTCATTACTAATTAAGATTGGGAAATGATTTTAGGATAGTTTTTTCATCCTACATTTTGGTATAACTTGACATATCATTAAAATGATTGGTTCTTTTAATTCATATAAGACCCGTGATATTGAATGCATCCACTTATTTAATGACATATAAAAATTATATCAAAATGTGAGATGAAAAAATTGTTCCAATAGCACCATTTAATTAAGATTACTACCTTTCAATCTAATTAAATATGACCTTTGCAGTTTTTTTAAAAAGAGATTAAGTGAACGTTCAATGTACTATTTACGAT